GGTTCTATTATTGACTCAATTTGTTCATTAATGTTACTCAACTCTGTCTTAAGTGGTGCTTTAACAACGTGTTAGTTAGGTTCATTCTTAAACTTGACAATAGCTAGCTAGTGAGACTACCTATTTGACTCAAAAAGTCTGAATTCTTAATATAATCAAGTGTGGTAACCAATAAATCGGATTGTCTTCACATTCTAAATGAAACCAAACCATCAGAATACCTTGAACTTTTCATCTATTCCGGTGAAACTAGCTACCAGTATCCAAAACAAATGTACTTTTTTTAACAATCTCACTATTGAAAAGTCTGTTTCTCTCCAACCAGTTTCGCATAGAAACTTAGTCAGCAAACATGGCACATGGTCACGGAGGGGTTGACTTTTGGAGAGAAATCGTCCTCTGGAATTGTGTTTTTTTGTTGTTGTTGTCTTTGTTGACTCATGGCCCATACCCGTCCAAAGATCCGATTGAACTTGTGCACCCTTCCAATTTTACCGACCGCCGGGGCCGGTGGGATGCAGCAGCAGCAGCTAAGCAAAAACCTAAGCCCACTCTGACAGTCAACCCTCGCACACAACAAGCCAATTATCTTCCTGCTCTGATCTACGATGTTGGAATGGTTGAGCTTCTTTTTTTTTTTTTTTTTTTTGGTATTATTATCACATTTCTTCAAATCTTTTGGCCAGGATGTCATTTCACAAAGTCAAAGGCGCAAAACGACACAACTTCCCCTCACTCTGATGCAAACCACTCGAAGATCTGCATGTGGATGTCGTTACTCTCTCACTCTTATCATTCCATCTACTACTTCTTCTTCCCGTCCTTGGGAAAAGTATTATATCATTAGAGTATTATTAGTTAACTGCTCTCTTTTCCAATACCTTGTTTATATATGTTTCATTCCATTATTGACTTCGCCTTCCATTCGACTAGTAGCTAGTTATCCTTGACAACAGTAGTATTTTATGCATGGTGTGTTTATACGGTGAAGATGATGATGAGATTACACTTAAAGAAAGAATGAACGAGGAATGTAGACTTAATCAATCACATAATGAGGTTTATGCATGTAAATCTGAGATGTGGACTTAATTAATCATGTTTTATATTGCCTTGCAATATGATGAATAATAGGAAACAAGCAAGAGAAGAGTCTGTATAGGGTTGTTAATCGGTTCTCGGTTTAACCAATGATCGATTCATAGTTGTTGGTTCTCGGTTCAATCGAGAACTGATTACCCAGTACTACTCGCTTGGTTAACGACGCTTGGAAATGGCATATCGGTTAGGTCACTTATGTCGGTTAATAACTCTTGGGTATACGGGTTAATTGAGAAGAACCAATACTGCTTGAAGATAGCCAACACGAGGCAATCTCCATTGCCCCCTACTCAGAATTCCGCGCATCCAATCAGCAAAAGCTTGGTTTGGAATGCATTAGTGAAAGGGATGGGGCATCATAATAAAATATATGCATGGATACATATCATTGATAAGAATAGTATGCATGATCATCAAGATGAAGCTACCTGAACATAGTTATCCTACTATCTATTATCTATCTATCTATCTAATTATCGTTACTTATTTAGTTATCGTTACTTATTCATCTTATAACTCAAAAACCAACTAAAAGTAGAAAACCAAAACCCACGATTCTATCTTTTTTGTGCCGTGTTTGAGCATAAGTGATTAGTTTGAGAGTAGTTGCTATTAATTAGAAGACTATGTCGAATACGATCCAATACATATCTAGGATTTTTATTACGTGGAAATACTACTACATATTGCACACATCAAGCACAACATCTCTCAACTCAACTTAAACCAAATAAAGTTTTCACTTTCAATATTTAAGGCTTACATAGTCATATTTTACAACTATTACGTAAAATCAGAAGTGTTACGTAAGACTTCTGCAATAACTTCATACTTTACATAATGCAGGGTTAATGTTCATTAATTACCAAAAAGAATGGTCATCATATAAAACTTACATCATACAATTATCTCTTATATAACAGTTTAACATCGAGTTACATGAGATTTTCGTAATGATTTTATACCTTACGTCACTTAATATTTATATCCATTGCATAAAAAGATCATCTATATTACGTAACATTATTTTACAAATATTACTCAAAATAAACATAGCTTACGTAAACATTGTAAAATGACAAGTGTATTTTAGCATGTGAAAATTTTCAAATTAGGAGGCATTGCAGGAAACTCCCTGTATATAATAACATATTTGTTAAAACAACATCGCACGAAACAAAAGTTAGGTTTATTGAGTTCTTTAGTGGTTGACTCTTGGTTGGTTTGGGTAACCGACACTAGTAAACCAGAGCAGGGTGGGTCATGGGAAGTGTTTCTTTTCCCCTCCTCTTCTTTGTTCGTACGTGATGATTGTTTTGGTTGGACTTAAATTGATCGATTCATTCACCCATCCCATCAACAGAACTGGTTGCATATATAGCAAGAAGACAGGAGTTGTTGTTCAGTGCTAAAAAAACAAGCCAAAAACGAGAACACAAAAAGCCATATACAGAGCGCACTGTTTGAGTAGGGGAAAAAATGAGAAAGAACAAGTGTGGAGATCCAAACATGGAAGTTTGAGCATCATTCCATGAAAAATTCAAAAGGCCAGTTTGATGGATCAAATCAAAACCCACCCAAAAACTTCGATCCTTTTTTTTTTATTTGATTTCCTCAAAAATTGTCAAGACTTTGCCTGTTGACCATTCCATCACTGCAGATGTTGTCTATTACCTCCCCATGCAAACATCCTTCAATGGTGCTGCTGCTGCCTCTCTTCAATAAATAATGAGGGTGGTGACCCATGTCAACTGTTTTGTACCTTGTATATGTGAACCAAAACCTATGGCTTTTTCTTATAAAAAAAAAAAAAAAACCTATGGCTTTCTTTCTTTCTTACCCTAGTTTTTGAATTGTGTGATTGGTGTAGTACATATTCCATCTTAACACTGATGAAATATATTGGGAAGACAATACCAAGATATTGGTACAATTCTCAATCCTTGATGAATCGAGTTAGGATCATTTTTCTGATTATATGTATGTTTGAGTTTAGAGGAATGGCACTAATATGTGAGTAATTCACAATTATGATTGCTTTTGATAATTTAACGATTTAATATTTATAGTAATTGTACGAGCGAACTACATATGTCATATGTGTTGTATTTGGACATTGGATTGTGCTGTCCACGGGCTAGTATGCTAGGAGCCTAGGACACGGTTTGAGAATCACACTAGTATAGGTATGAAATATATTGGTTGCCTTGACACGATGAGGAATGTTTTATAGGCATGAAAGGCCTAAACTTCATGGACATGGGCTCAAACACGAGTAGGAAACGGTCGATAAGTAGGTCGAGCCAATTGACGGAACTAAGGCATTGGTTCGACGAAAAAAAGTACATGTAGATACAAAAGTTAGCTATCAGTGAGACTTGAAGCCTATACTTCGTAAATATTAGTCTATATTTTCTACCAGCAAACCTCAATAAATCATGAAATTAATTGTGTTTTTTAAAACAAACTTAGTTGTTAGTTGTATATAATACATTATAGTTTCACAAAATATAACTTTATCCTTAGGTCTCAAATTCTTAATTTATTCCTCTTCTTCAACCAAATTCTCCTCGTGTTGGAACTCGTTTGGTTTCCTTTATCATTATAATGACTTCTCTTATAATGATATCTTAAATTTTGAACCAACTATATTATTTATATATATATAATGTGAAGATAGACTATAGTTTTTCAAGAACCGGATAGAATATCTGAGCTTTTTAGGATCATTGTCATTGAAATGAGCAACTTAATGCTATTTTACCATAAATCCAAATATACAATTGTAGGTAGAATACAAATAACAACACACTAAACCATAAATACAAATATAATAGATTACTCTTGATATAATTAGCAAAACTAATCATGCTAATAAAGCTTGAATAGAAAACATGTAACTACTGCTTGCATCAAGTGTCCAAAACATACTCTTACCCCCTCGATACCTCAGTATATATGAGTCTTAAATTCTACTGCTAGATAGAGATGGTAATGGGACGAGTTTGCCTAAACCATCCTCATTCCCGCTTTTAAATATCCAAACTCATACCCGCCCCATATCCATGCGGGGAGAGTTTTCTAAACCTATCCCCATACCCGTAGATTTCGGGTACCCATGGGTAATACCCGCCCCGTACATCCAATATGATAACACCTAAAATTTTATATATAAATTTTCAATTATAACACTAAACGCACCTACTATATTATGAAATCGACAAAGAGACAATCATTTTTAACACGGTTCAAAAAGCTTATTATCCTAAAGCATCCGTTAATCCATAAGATAGAATGCAATGTAAACCAAATCATTATTCTCTTACTCTAATACATATACTAAGTAATAACTAACTAACACAATCATGTTAACAATCAGAACAATGAAAGAGTGAAGGGAGGATTGAGGAAAAAGAATTAAGTTTTGATTTGGGTAGCCACCCGATTACATTTATACTAAATATTTTCTGGAGTTAGCCTCACTATTATAGATATTTTACAATTTAATCAATCACATTTTTCATATGTGAAGAATTTTTCCTAATGCGGCGAGTATGGGTATGGTATAGGGCGGGGAGACTAAAATCATACCCATCAAACATTTTACGGGTTTTATCCATACCCGATCAAAGCGGGAATTCCCATCGTTGACTGGATCGAAGACGAACGAGTACCCGCAATCTTGAGTTTGATCGTCATTTCTACTGCTAGATAGTACAAACATCAAATTGCATTAGTTGAGGAAAGTCAAAGGGGGCACGGGGTAAGGACTAAGGAGAATTGGTTTTTTGTGATTTCTCAACGCAAACAAAGACAAAAAAACATCTCTCACCCAAAACCTTGTTTTGGTGTTTTTTCATCTTCTCCATCTACTCCACTCCTTTCCTTTCATCATAAAACCATAGCTTGTCTCTTCCCTTCTTCGCACTTCCTTCCTTCCATCCCATACTCTCTCCCTCCCTCTTTCTCTCCCTCCCCTCTTATCGATTCATGGAATGCAGAACGGCCGCCCACGAAGCAGAAGCCATCACCACTTGGTTCGACGATGAGCTCATCGTGCGACAGCTACTCGACAATGACTTCCCTTTCTATTCGCCACCAGGACCAAACCCAATCCCTGCCGAAGAATTGGCAACTACCCAAATCATGCAGTCCACTCTGCGTTCACCGCCGACGGTTCAGGAAATTCAAGCCCAATGGATGAACCAGCAACCCGAATCGGTGTCTGATTCTGGGTCGGTTTTGGTTTCTCCTTCCAGGTTCGAATCGCCAATTCTGAAGATATCCAATTGCGCTTTCTCTGGGGATGCTCTGTTTCCGTTCTTGAAAAAAACAGAGTTCCTCTGTTTTTTAGCTTTCTTTTGGGTTAATTGCAGAGTTAGCTTGCGTGAGAGGGGAATTAACAGAATCGACAGCAACAAGTACACTGTGAAGCTCAAATGGTGCGAGAATGGAATGGCGGATGACGGCTATAAATGGAGGAAATACGGACAGAAGTCCATCAAAAACAGCCCCTACCCCAGGTAATACATAAGATTGTCGTTACCATTTTCTTGTTAAATCCAATTAGCAGACTAAACACAAAATGCCGTAAGAGTCAGTAGGGAAAGTTGGTATCTTGAAAATTTCACTCCACTTTTGGATAAAATTTGAGCTAACCTAGCTAGTTATTATAAGCTAGAAAGGAAACCTTTTTTCTCACGAAACAACTCCGTCTGTTTTGTCGATGACCGGACAGGAGCTATTACAAATGCACAAATCCACGGTGCAGCGCCAAGAAGCAAGTGGAGAGGTCGAGGGACGAAGAAGACATAATCATCATCACCTACGAAGGCCTCCATCTACACTTCGCTTACCCCTTTTTCCCGGCCATCCCTGACGGCGGCGGCGATAATCCTCCGACGCCGAAAAGGCCCCGAACAACTTCCCCGGGAACAGAGTCAGGAGAACGATTCCGGGAAGAACCGCGGCCAGGGACAGAGTCGGCAAGTTCAGTTCTGACTTATGGTAATGGCGGAGATTCTGATGGATTGTTTTTTATGAATGCCGCTCCCCAGGGACTGCTCGAAGATTTGGTGCCGTTTGTGGTCAGGAACCCGGCGCCGTTGTTGTCATCCTCTTACGCTGGTGACGGTGTTAGTAATAATAATAGCCTCTGCTCCAACTCTTCTAGCTCTTGTTCGTCTCACCGGTCTTCGTCGGTTACTTCTTCGCCTTCTTGCTTTTCTTGGTCACCGGAATCCCTATCATTCCTGTGACCGATGTTGGACCAACATCAAATTTAGTTGTATATTTAGAATTTAGGTCAATCCATATTTTAATTAGGATTTCTGGATATTTCTTTCATATTTTTGTGTAATAAAGAGAGAGAAGTTTTTTCCGGTCACTCGTATTATTGAGAAAATCAGTCCTATACAAAGTGGTGCATAGTTGAAAATGATCAAGAAACGAAATTGAACCCTACTAACGAAGGAAACAACGAAAAAAAGATTTTTCTTTCCACCACTTGGACAACCACGTTACAGGTACCGCCAACAAACAGAACATAGCAATGATGAAATGAGGCTATCAATGCTTGAAATACATCGGCTAGTTTTCCCAATCTTGAATTGTCTTTTTGGGGCCAAGCATCCTCATTGTTTGAAATACATCTCACTCTGCAACCTGCAATCGAAACTGAGATAGCAATACCGTAATGGTATATTACGTAAAATAAAATAAAAATTACTCAATTTCTACCTTGTCATCAGAACAACGCCACAAACAGCATCATGCCACCACGATCAAGCTCCTTCTGATCGACATCCTATGCCAGAAGATTCTCGTATGGCCTAGAGGAAGTGATCCTGAGCCCCACTATTTCAGAACCTTCTGACAGCCCATCCACCACATTATAGCAAAAGAAGAGATGCTAGCTCCAGAGATTCCGCCTCCTCCACGCAAACTAGACATCACTCTAGAGTTCACTGTCGAAAGCTTAATGCCTCACCAATCGGTAAGACACATCGCACAAGTTTCCGTACAAAGTATTGCAACTTAAGGGGTATCAGAGCCCCCAAATCTACATCCTAAGACTCAAGTCCTATGGTAGGGCTGTCACTTTAGCAATAGCTCATTCTGCCTCCTCAATTCCACTACCAAATGATATCCTTATTTTACAGTATAAACACCTGAAACTTTTGACTCCTCAAATCCACTTAACAGAAGAAACTGGTAAAGGAATATCCAAAATTTCATGAACCTTGTCTACCTCAAAGATTTGACGCAAGCAATTCCACCTGCCAAACCCTTTTCTTAGAGTGAATAAATTATGCCATTTGAACCCTAAATATCCTCTAGTGTGGCCGTGGGTGTGTTGGGTGTAAGGCACGCACCTAGTTATCTGTGAGCACCTCCAGCATTGTTCTTGAACCATTTTGCCAGGCGAGGTCCTTCGCTAACAAATCACGCCCACCCAACAACCCTTGCCATCGCTAAGATGGTAACAGATATGTCTTTTCGTTAATATTGAGGAGTTGGGGAAATACCTTCCCTTATACAATCGGGCTAAAAGTAGGGCTGGTAAATGGTTATCCAGTTAACGGTTTAACCGGTAACCGACGGTTACCGGTTAACTGTTAACCGAGCGGTTTCGGTATTTGGTAGGGGAAACAAAGCTTACGGTATACCGATCCAGACCCGGTTAATAACCGGCGGTTAATCGGTATACCGTATATACCGAAATATAATCCAAAACCACTTTTTCCCATCAGATTAATGCCTTCCGTCCTCTCCTCTCGCCATCTCCATCGAGAAAAAAATCCCCTCTAAACCCATGAACACCCTCCTCTGTTCTCTCCCCTCTTCGTCTCCATCGAGAAACAATCTCTTCAAATCCATAAACAGATGAAACCCTCCTCCTCTCTTTCTCGATTCGTTGACCTGGACCACGCCGTTGTCGATTCGTCATCTCGGAGGGTCTCCGATACGTCGCTAGATCTGGAAATAGCTGCTGAAACTGAAATAGCTCTGTTCTTCGTCGGCTCGTCGGTGCTCGCCTAGCCACCCCCTTTCTCCACTCCTCTGCCTCCTTCGCCGCCGTTGCTGTGGAGAACCCAGAACCCAATTCCAGATTTTGTTGGGAAAATACAACGAGTCGCTCTCGGTGCTCGCCTAGCCACCCCCTTTCTCCACTCCTCTGCCGCCTTCGCCGCCGCTGCTGTGGAGAACCCAGAAACCAATTCCATATTTTGTTGGGAAAATACAACGAGTCCCTCTCGATCTGCCTCTCGATTACAAATCAGATGACATGCAAACTCTTCGCGCGACGGCTCTCTCTTCCTCTCGAGGCTAGATCCGGCGACATGCTATCTCCCTCGCGCGGCGGTGCTTAGTCCCTCTCGATTCTAGATCCGGATACACCGCCGGCGACTCGCTCTCCCTCTCGAATCCATATCCGGCGCCATGCAACTCCCTTGCGCGGGGACGTTGTCTTCATCTCGATGCCAAATCTCTTTTCCCTCTCGATTTCAGTTTCGGAGCCGCGGCCGGGACATGATAATGGTCACTCGCCGCTGGGAAAAATTCATCATTGTCGGGGTTATCGGTTTATCGGGTTTGTAACCGGTAACCGGCTATTCGGTAAACTGTAAACCGACTATTCTTCGGTACCGGTAGTCGACAGTGATTTTCCCTAATCCGGTATACCGTTAACCGGTTAGTCGGTTACCGGTTAACCGGTAACCGGTTAGTCGGTTACCGATTAACCGGTAACCGACCAATTACCAGCCCTAGCTAAAAGTGATTCAGACTCCTTCCAAATATGCCAAGCTATATTTGCAAGTAATGCTTGATTGAACATCTCAAACCTCATGAAAGCCAGTTCTCTCTCATGCTTACTCAAACATAACGACTTCTAGGCCTCTCAGTGAATTCGCCTTTCACCCTGATTCACACCCCACAAAACTTGGCCAAGTGTCTATCCAACGAAAGACACAAAGAAAGGGGAAGAGGGAAGCAAGACATCACATTAATGGGTAAAGCATTAAGAACAACCTTGATTAGGATCTCCTTAGCCGTCCAAGAATTTGTTGTCCCTAAATGCATGAAGCAAACAATGGATTTTGGACAAAGTTCATGATAGATCCAAATCCCTCATCAAATCCATCACCAAATCCATAAAGCAAACAATGGTATACTTGACTTTTTTTTACAACAAATTTCATTCATTTCATTCCAAACCCAAACAAGTGGGAAGAATTACAATTACAATAATGGAGCAACAAGATCAGCAATGACAGTCCATTTCGGAGGAAGTAGATCAAGACGAGAGTTCTTTGCGATCCAATCAGCCAACACATTAAATCGATGAGGAACAAACTCAATCGAGATCCAAGAAGAAACAAAGAATGGAAACCACACGGACAAGGGTCAATGGATCATATGGCCGAAGGAACCATATTAGACATGCACTTTACAATTGGCAATCAAAATATACGTATCTACTTCGATTGAAACTAGTGCTGTGGTAACAAAACAATTAATAAATAACTCTATATGAAAGTAATTATCAACAGTTGGGTCCATAGCTCAGTGGTAGAGCAATTGACTGCAGATCAATAGGTCACCGGTTCGAACCCGGTTGGGCCCTATTTTTTTCAACTTTTTTTTTCTTCCTTTGCTTCGCCAGTGTAATTATCTTGTGCTCTATTTTGCATATGTCTTATTTGAATTATATCTACATCATTTGAAAGCTAAATCTTTGGCTTTTGCCAGTATTGTTATCTTGAGTGGGCACTGATTTACTCAAACTCATTGGATTTTAAAGAGTTAGGTAGTACATATCTTAGTTTGAATTTTAAAGAGTTTCATGTGTTGAAGTTATCTTGTACCATGGTGATATATTTTCTTTCTTTTTTTGAGAAAATCCAGTTGAACAAAATGATGGTGGGAAATGTTCTAAGGTTGGATCTTCTTGGTAGAATAACTGCAACTATGGTAAATTGTAGTTTTAAAAGGATGATTCTTCGATGGCCAAGTACTGCATTTTGTAATTTTTATTGCTATAAACATAAGGATGGTGAAAACTGTATTGTGATTGTACCATGGTGGTAGGATAGTTGTTATTGTGGTAAAATCCAAACTAATAGGATGATTCTTTAAGTGTTACGAGTTAAATATTTTGAGCATTTATTTATTACGGTAAAACGACAGATCGACTGGTTGGCCGGCAGAGGAAAACAGAGGCCTGTGCATTTATGTCTTCAAGCTCTTCTAACCAAGTCCATCGCCAAAAGGCTGCAACTCCGAATCACCAAAACCTGCAATGTGAGACAAGGAGGTAGGCTAGGGAGAGAAAAGGATAAAACAAGTCATATCTGGGTCAGATTTGTCCTCCTTCGCAACATATAACGGACATCATCTCTAGATCTGCATTAACAGATCAGAGGCCAAAACGCATCCCACAGAGGGGGAGGACAGATCCCATCAACGGGAAGGAGACGAACGCCCTGAAGAAGGCAGAAACCAGAGCCAAACAAGGCAAAGAAGACCGAAAAAACGAAAGGAGAAGGAAAATAAAGCACGAAAACATAGGAGAAGGAAAGGCAAAGGGGCGGCGGACGCAGTCGAGAACCCCCTTGACCGTATATAGGGAGGTTTCTAGAGAGAAGTTAGAGAACAAAAAAGGAGAAGAGAGAAATGCGGATGAATGAGTCGAATTTCTTTTCTACTACAAGGTAGTAACCAGTATTAAAGGAGCATTTTGTTTTTTAATTATTGTTATTATGATGTACTAGTTTTTGTCTGCCCTCCAAATTAATTTGATTACAATAGTGAGATATGAATATGAATGAAACATGACACGTAGAAATAGTTGTTTTAGATCCTCATATAATGATCAGAATTAGTAGTTATAGCTTATAGGCTATCTTTTATCATTTGATGCACTTTAGTAGTGTTTTGTGTGTTTTCGAAGTATAGCATTCTAGTGGGTCACTTTATACGTGTTGGGGGGACATCAAGAGCTTTGGTCGCCGTTTTGGGGCTCGGCCAGAAAACCCTCAGAATTCATTCAAAATATTCCTTTGATAGTGGCCAAGTTGGAGGAGGCATGTAGCCAGTAGGTACTCAATGATGCATTTATGTACCCCAAAAACTGGTTGACATGATCAGCTAGTTCGCTTAGTTGTAGGTTAGCGAACCCCGAACTATCAAAGATTAGGGCTGTTAATGAGCCGAGTCGAGCCGAGCTTTGCCATAGTTCGGGCTCGGCTCGTTAATATATTTCCAGGCTCGAGCTCGACTCGTGTTCGTCACGAGCTTTAGTATGCAAGCTCGAGCTCGGCTCGTTTATGAAAATGAAAGCTCGAGCTCGAATCGAGCTTGGCTCGTCAAATAAGCTTAACGAGTCCAAATTCGAGTTCAGCTCATAAAATGTTCATGATAGCTCAAGATTGACATAGAACTGCGCACAAAATTACATTCTAACATGTAGCAAAGTCTAGCAAAGTAAAACACAATATTTATCCCAATTTCAATATATAAAATCCATGAATTATAATCCTTTTTTTTATGTCAGACCATTAAATGAGCTTGTTCGCGAGCTTTCGAGCTGAACATGATATGACTCGAGTTCGGCTCGTTTAGTTAACGAGCTTGTTTGCGAGCCGACTCGATTAAAACGAATCGAGTATCGGACGAGTTTTTCTCGAGTCGCACACCGAGCCGTTCATGAGCGGCTTGGTTCATTAATAGCCCTATCAAAGATATGTGTATTTTCCCTTCTCTTACTTGATAGAGCCCCGGACTATCAATGTACATGGGAAGGCAAGAGTTCTTAAATTGTTTTCCGGATTTTGACCACTGGACCAAAACCTTCTCACTCAAACAAGGTATAAAAATTGTTTACTCACTAAAACACAAACATATATATCCAACCAAAAAGCGTCTCTGGGTTCGAATTTTGGGTCAATACCATGAATTTTAAGAACCCAAGACCCTGTACAAAAAAGCCATTGCTGCTTGCATTTTGTCCCACGCAAACATGGTTCATAAGACTCATAAATGCAGATTACATATACAGAGAATCAGTTCTGCTTTAAAATGGCTTCACCGTTCTCGAAACACCAGTTCCCGGGCCAGTGGAAGTCATCAGCGTACCGTTATCAGACACGTAGAAGTAGTTGTAGTTAATTCTGGTAACCAGATCAGCCAGATGAGGAAAGTGTTTCACGTTCACCTTCACTGACAACACCTGAAATAGAAGACAATGAGATTCAACTTCATTTTGCATAATGCCAGGATTGTTCTGGGTTTTCCTTTGATGGTGAAATCAATGCACATAGGGTCAAAAAAATTGGGGAATTACTCTTAGGAGAACAGCTATGCAGTCATCGAAGCTTTTCTCGATCTGTTCAATTGTCATTTCACATTTGGCCTTCATTGCAGAAGCTGTGCCCCCACTACCTAAAGTCTGCTGAATGGAATAGAAGTTCAGAGCTAAACTGAGGATGCGGTTGATCCGGCTCGCAATTACGGACCACTGGAGAAACAAAGAAAGAAAAGAGTACTAAGTAGAGGAGGAACTGGCTAACAGAAGTATGTAACGAATTCCAGCAGACACAAAAAACGAAAGATGGGGAAAAGTTTAATCACCAGCTTCCCTGGTACGACAAAGCATTGCCGCTGAATTGATAGTAGGTAGGCTTCATGTACTTCCATGACTTCATCGAGAGAGCCAGCTGCGGTCATACCTTCACAAAGCTCACGCCATGCACTATGATATACCTGTAAGCACAAGATCCTTATCAGGCCAGAAGAAAGGAATGCCTCTCATTTTAGTAATTCTTTGACCTCAACAGAAAGCACTCCATTTTATTTTTTTCACTTAGTCCCCATAACGGGATGTATAACTAGCTCAGAGTTGTATTTTAACTGTCAAAGGCGTCAATAAAAGAGAGAATGGGATGTACGTATTGCTCCTGGTACTCGGTTAATAAATGTGATACAAATATCCTGATCTTAGCATTCTTCTTGTTCTTGCAACGGCATGCAAGTTGATTACAAAGAAGAGGTAAACAAATCATGGTAAAGGGCCTTACTCCATCCATAACATGTTGGTGAAAGGCATCGACAAAATGAAGGAGCTTTTGTTCCACCAACCAGTGACGTTTGGAGCTGTTTCTCGTGTTGCCTTTACCCTGATAATGGAGCTTGTAAGTAAGGAAGAGAGAGATAATAGCTTAAAAATTCAAAACATAACAACGGAACTCAATCTGTTTTATTAGTTTAACTTTGAACGCGAAGGAAAAGGAAAGAGAACCTTCCACATCCACATTCGGACTTTATCAAGTACGAACTTAACTCGCTTGACCTTCAACAAGAATACCATCACCTGATAAAAAGACAATCAACATCACAGAATAAAAAATAATATAGTTCCTTCAGTGCAAGAAGATGAAAGAAGTTACCTGGTTGTACTTCTTAATGGCCTCTGTATTAGCAATAAGTTCCAGTGGCCAAGATACCTGCCAGAAAATCCAGTTATTTGGTCAGGAGACACATTCTAAAACATTCATAGTGGCAGGAGATACTTAACAAACCTTGTATGAGAAGTTCAATGAGGCAAGGCCATCGATTCCAAAGTTGTTTGGGTGACTTCTCTGAGTTGAGATACCTCGAGGTGTATTAGGAAGTTCATCACTATCAAATCCTTGATTTCTGGTGATGGTGACAACTAAGGAGTCTGGAGAATTGAGTAGATTACCATCTGCAGAATTCCTAATTGATTCCTGCATCAACATAAGAAGGCATAAGCCAAGGTACAATGCGCATAGAGCTTTTTTATGAGTGCAAATGTCAAGAAAATACTAGTGAAGAACATAAATAAACTGAAATCTCTGAGGGAGCCAAAACAAGCAGTGAATTCAGATTCTTGATAATGGACATATTGGAGTTTAGCTGAAGACAATGGAGTAGAGAAGGTTAGAAGAACAAGTAATGCGGAAAATCATTAACTCAAAGACTCATCAATCCGGTAAGTATACCTGTAATATAGTGTTTAGCTCAAAATCATCATCCCAGGTTTCTCCCTTGTCCAGCTTACTGAAAAGTATGGTTGAAAAGTGCTGCAGCAAATCACCTGAAGATGCCAACGCATGAAAAGCAATGTAAAAGAAACCCAAGATCACTGCCTCACAAGGTAGGAATAGAAGAGGGTACAATAATAATATAGTACCTGAACCTAACAAGTATATGGCCCGGAGTACTGCAAGCTCATCCATCAATTTCCACTCATTCATCAACTTTGACAATACCATCCTGCCAACATAATCCACCTATGAAGAATAGGGAAGAAAAATAAGTAAGTGTATGGGCACTCTATCATTTGAAGTTTCTTCAAACAAGCTTTAAATAATGAAAGCAGAACAAAATGTAGTGAGCAAGATGCCTGCTTCTTGATGTAAACATATAGGCATTCCTGCACAATAACTACAGGATGTGGATTGCTTCTTGGTTCAACATTTAGAATCCAGCAGAGAGCCCTCGATGGAAGTGTGCTATTCTTCTGGAAAGGAAAGTGCTCTGAAATTGGGTCATCATCCTGTTTGATAGTAGACAGTTAGAAATTTTTTACACATGAATTGATTAGAAAGGAAATACTAGCACCAGAATGTCACCTGTATGGAAGGGAGAACTGTGGGAAAAGGAAATAATTGTTCTAAGAGCTTTCTCTCATTGACAGAACGAGCATACTCGGATTCACTGTATTGAAACCCCAGAGCATAGTTTGTTCTTCTGACACTGTCATTGTTTCCACCAAATACAGCTTCATGCAAGGTATCATCATTCAAAGGAGGCAGAGAAAAATTTCTTGACAAGTTCAATGCGCTCCAGGTCTCTTTGTGATTCTTGAGTGGAGCTTGACAGACAGTTATAACTGGATTCTCAGGAAAGAATGACCTATGGAGTTGTGATCCAACTACAAATCCTGGGATCGTATGTTCCTCAATCTCAGCTGGACCAGAAAATCCTAAATGAGTGGTTTTTTTCTGATAAAATGCATCCAACATGAATTTATACCATATCTTCTCCGAGCAAAATGAAACGGCTGAGTTCTCACAGTTACTACTACGCATCTCTTTGCTAATTGCATCGGCCGCAGAAGTGGAGGCAATGCTGGATTGGCTTATGTCATCTAACAAGTACTTATGGACATGATCACCATGGCCAACAAGCCCTACTATTGAAACACAGAATACCTCTGACAAAGTTAACCCAGCTAAACTCTGCTGTTGGCTGGTTACTTTATGGTCACAATTATTGCTTCCAAAACCATCAGTCCCGCTCATGTAACTTTTAGCAAAGCTTGATGGACATGACAATGATGTAGGCGCATGATGAATCAGTTGCAAAGATTTTCCAGCAGAGACAATTGACTTTGCCAGGTTACTTATAAACAAAGGACAAACATGAAGTTTCTTTCTGTGCCCCTCTCTTTTGGTAGCAGCAGGCAAAGAAATGGAATCTCTATTACCTATCTCTTTCATGCCCTTCATTGGAGGTACAGCAGAAGTGTGGCCAGAGTTCTGAACATCTAGCTTATGATCTTGTCTAAACTGATAACTCTTCTCCCAGAACCCAGAATCCTCGATTGAGATTACTCCATCAGCACAAAAGAACATCTACAGGCAAAGCGAGAGGCAGTACTCTTCAGATTATAGCAACAGGTAAGCAAAATAACATTAAGGTAATAAACATGATCCAGAATGCAACAAAAAAAAAAAGTAAATTACCTCCTCATAAGGATCATCAAGTATCCCTTCAAAAAGCCAGGAATCAAGGGCTTCAATATACGGCAATAGACTTGCCACAAACATATGAAGCACTAATCTATATCCTTCCTCCTGCAATCAAACAGGCATCCTGAATTAATGTCGTTTAAAAATGAGCGACATTATATGACACATGCAGAGGAGAAGTTCCACTTACCTCACCACCTTCCACGAGACAAACTTTATCCAACTTCTTGTAAAGATAATCAAGAATGTGGACGGCCACTTCAGCAGCTGAAATAGACGAATTTGGCTCACAAGTTTCTTGGGGAATAGCTCCATGAACGATTTGCAGTAGATACTCAGCACCTGAGCATAGACTAATCATCAATAAAATTCATCAGCAGTTACCATAAGGGTTAAAAGACAGCAGTCCTGCGAGCACTCAACACTGCATTGCCTTTCATTATTCAGCAAGAGATAAAAAGTTCCTACCACTAATCCCCTATTCGTCCAAACTAAGCTCCATTTGCGCCAAGCTAAAACATACAAACGAAATGACTCACCTAGATAAGGAATTCGACAGTCCCAACAGAGTGGGAGTGGTTTCAACACTGGAATTGCATACCTTCACTTCCTCCTTCAAAGCAATATCCCTCAACCTCTATGGAAAAAAACCCCTCATTGAACATTAGGATGCCAGAAAACAAACCCATCAATGTCAAATCAGATGCAATCAACAACGAAAGCCAGCAACAAACCTTGAGCCAACAGGAGGCAGAAGACACAAAAGCGCTCAGAGTAGGCATGGAAGTAGAAGCCACCGATCTCAGCTTATCGAGCAAAAGTTCCACAAGTCGCAAGCAAGTGGCTGCGTAGATGAACTGATGGAGAAGGTTGTGTAGGCTGGAGCGGGAGAGGTGAGTGAGGTAAATTCCCGGCTGGGAAACACGATAGGAGCGCGAATTCGAGTCCCAACGGAAGAGGGACCCGGAGAGCGAGAGACCTTGTAGCATTTGGAGAACGCCTCGTACCACTTCAGCTTCAGTTATCGCGGTACTGGGTATCACCGGAGTCGCATAATGTATGCCTTCTCCGAGCATTAACAGCGTCGCCGTTCGAGGAGACATTGTTGGTGTACGGAAAGGAGGATGAAGATAACCCAAGCGTCAGGGATCCAAGCAAGCTAGATTCTTTCGACTTGAATCCGAACTACTGAAGCATCGAGTAGGAGTTTCCTAACAATGGCAGCAAGAAAACCTACCGAGTTCGGAGCAATTTTGAATCGAGAGCATTTGCGGCGTTGCGAGCCAGGCGCTAATTATCTCAAACTCGACCGGTTGCGTCGATCCCTTCGTCCTTAGATTAGAAGGGCGTCTTTCGTGTTCCTCCCCAAACGACGACGATTGCGTTAACCTCTCGCTCAAAGATGAAGAGTGACCGCATGGTAAAAAAAAAAAATGAAGAAGAAGAGGAGTGACAACTAGGGCTACAAATGAGCCGAGCAACTCGAGGCTCGAATCGGGAAAAACTCGTTCGAATCTCGATTCGTTTATTGACGAGCCAAGCTTGAGCTTAGCTTTGTTCAGCTCGCGAGCTAGCTCGACTTGGTGGCTTGTTGAGCTCGACTCGTGAGTTGGCTCATTTAAAGCTCATGAGATGTCTCAACATTGTGGTTTGAGGGCCAACTTGATCACCGACTTATGGACTAATCGATCTAATTTGGACTTTCATAATTCATAGGATTGTTAAATTATATATCTCACATCATGTGAAGTTTAACATGTTGAACATGTAAGAAAATATGCCTTATTTTTAATTCTATAAAGAAATTATGTACAAAATTGTTTAGATACTATAAAATAACATGATTTGAACTAGTTAAAATTTATTAACTAAACAATATGACACCTAAAAATTATAAAATAAGATTAATTAATGTTGAACATTTGATTATTTATTTATCGCTACATCTATCACATGTACCATGCACGACATACAAAATGAATGTATCAAATACGATCTAAGAACTTAGTAAACAAACCTAGCTCGAACTCGACTCGGCTCTTTAATAAATGGCTCGGGCTCGAGCTCAGCCCATTTGTTAACGAGTCAAGCTCAAACTGGGGTAAAACTCGGCTCAGCTCGGCTCATTTGCAGCCTTAGTGACAACAGCCCCATTAAATCCCACCCGCCCCCAAAAGAATCCTGGCAATGGGTCGAGCTGATTCGGGTTTTGCCAAATTTATGGGTTTATCCGTAAAAAAATCACGGTAACGCTCATTGGGTTTGGAAAATTCAAATTCAAACCTAATCCGTTAGGTACTCGTGGGTTTTTGTGATAAAAAATTTATAATAACAAGTTCTTATCAAAATAAAAATCAAACATCAATCTTTCCATACAAATTATCCATAAACAAAACATCATTTTAAAAAATTCAAGCAAATCATAAATTATTCTTACAAATTGTTCAACATCAATCTAGAAAACTCAAAACAATTGAAGCAAATAAAAAATTATCCATAAACAACATTTTTTTTGCTAATGTTGATATAGTATTAATATTAATAAAATTACAAGGAAAAAGGAAACCAAGAAAGAACACAAATATTTAATCCACCGCAAGCAAACAAATCCGCCACAAGTTCAGCATTCTCTTTATAATTAGTTGATCTAGCGTGACTAGTCTAATTAATAAAAACACATATATACATTCATTTTCACAGTCAAGCGGCTGTAAAAATGAGAACGATGGTGAAGGCTTAAGCAATGGATTGACATTAATTAATTCTAAAATTAATAAAGATGGTAAAGGCTTACGGGAAATTTTGGAGGGAAATGGGAATAGGATGGTGTGATCCGGTATCCACAGGACGGGTACCCTCAAACCCACCCCAACCCGTTAGCAATATATCGTGTTGGGTCGAGTCGGGCCGGATATCCATGAATTCGGGTTTGACTGCTATCCCTAATCCTACCCATCCCTGCCTTTCTTTCTCCTCCCTTCCAGTAAACAACCTGAATCCATTGAAGGCATTTCTCCCCACCACTTTAACCCACAAGGCTTCTCCTATATTATTTAATTTAGAAATATATATATTATAAAATAATTTTTATTATATTATTTAATTATCCATTATAATCTTATTTTTTTAACACTATTGAAAAAATTGGTTCAAAATTGGTTCATTTAGAAAAAATATATATGGTAATATAATTTTTATTATATTATTTAATTATCCATTATAATCTTATTTTTTTGAACACTATTGAAAAAATAAAATAAATTAGTAGTCGAAACTATAAAAATACCACTCTCTATGTGCCAAACGATTATTCATGATTTAGTTATTCCTTCGCTTTCGGATGATGTGCTTTGTCAAAAATCATTTAGTATTATTGACTCGAACTATTGCAAGACATTTTATAATAAATCTTATATATACCATTTACTAACATACTCCCTCAAAAGAAAGTAAACTTATATAGACTTGAATTTTGCACGAATTGAATACAAGTGCTTAACAAACAGGTTCGCCAACATTCGAACACAAGACCTCTCGATCACCCATTCTCAATTAAATAAGCCTGATTTTCATTCACAATTAACTATTATACCTGGTTTACTTATTTTCCTCTCGAGACAGGGTGGGTCCTGGAAGCCAACTTGTTGTACTCACTGATCGTCTTCAGTCGTAAGCTGTTGTTCCATATCTTCCCAACACACAGAACTTATAGTTGTTGATAAGCTCCCAGCTAAGCTGATCTTGGTTTAGTGGACGGCGGTGCTTTGTTCCGATCTCTGTGGGAAAGTTTGGAGGAGATGAAAGGCCTGAAATCCATACATACTCCTTGGAGGACATAATTATGATTTATGAGGGCGGAAAAGATGCGGGTATGATGATGAGGCGAAAACTCCAAAACTATGTCGTTTTCCAGACCGGACTGAAAGTTTGTGGCCACCAAAAAGCACTTACAGCCACGACTTGATGGTTTTTGAGATGTGTCTTTCTTTTTTTGACAAATATTTTTTTAGATCTTGTTATTCCGTGTGGATTTCTTATTTAATTTCTATGATGAATGAGACATTTCTATTATTTAATTTTTTATTGTGCTTTTTTCCAACATAGATGTGAAGAGCTGGTGATAGTTTACTGATTATTTATAACGTTTTCATTAATAAAATTTATGGGTTATATCTCTTTTGTTAGGTTAGAATTTATTTTTTCTCCATAAAAGTGGATAAATGGTGTTATTTAAAAATAGCATCCACTGTGTTCGAAAAAGAAATTAAAACATATATTATTAGTCTATAACATGATGAAATACTTGATAGTACCTAAGAGTATACCATAGTGGTATGAAAGTGTATCGTGGTAGTATGCATATATGATAGGAAAGAATAATTGTATACTTGATAGTAGGAATATATTAATCACTTTATTACACATTAGACCACCGTCTGGGTCTGGCTACCACGGTTTACTACCCAATACCAAGGTGGTAAAGAACTGTATATTTGGTCATGAATTTGTTTTCCTAAAATTTGTACATTACAACAGAAGATGATGAACTCGTTCAGTTTATGCAAAAAATTCAAAGTTTGAGTTAAAATGAAGGTAGGACAAAATTTGTTTACTCATAAAAAATTTAACTTGTATCACATCGATTATTATAAGGGATCTAATCGATTTATAAGGTTAGCTCAACATTAATTATTAAATGAGCTAGGTTGACCTTGTTGGGTTGGGTTTTTGGGTCTAAGTGGCTGCCCTCTCCCTGGCCTTGGCAACCGTCCACCTCCATAGCCTCAATAACAATGCCATCTCTCCCTTAACAAGCCATTCGATATGAAATATTGCTCTAAAAAATTAAGCCTGGAAACAAGGTAGACTTGGTAGCTAATCAGCAAGGCAGGCTTGATAGCAACATATGAAATTTGATCAAGTCTGAATACCAAGCTGGCAAGACAAGCTTAGTAACCAGACAACAAGGTACCAAGCCGACAAGACAGGCTTGGTACCAAGACATGAAATTTTACCAAGTCTGAAATCAAAATAGGCTTGGTAGCCAGACAACTGGATACCAAGTCTACAAGACAAGCTTGGTAGCAAAATATGAAATTCGGCTAAGTATAAAGCCAAGAAGGTACCAGGACAGCAAGGCATGCTTGGTACCAAGATATGAAATATAACTAAGTATGGATACCAAGTCGACAAGACTAGCTTGGTGGCCAGACAATAGGGTACCAAGCTGGGTACCAACCAGGCAGAGAGCCGTACAAAAACTAAGTCTGGGTACCAGGTTGGCAAAACGAGCTTGGTTTCCAAACAATAGGGTACCAAGCTGACAAGACATGCTTGGTATCAAGTTACCAAACCTCCCAAAACTAAGTATAGAGATCAAATTGATGAGACTAAGTATTAAATCTTGAGGGTGGGGGTTGGCCGGCCAGGATGTCGACATGATAGGAGGACAATTTGATGAGAACTTGGTGTAGAGCCCCTTAGTGGGTCATATGGAGACTAAGTCCTAAGATGTGCTTGGTGGCCCCCTAATATGATACCAAGTCGGCAAGGCGACCTGGTAATTTGATGAGATTTCAGACACTAAGTATGGAGACCAAGCCGGCAGGGCTGGTTTGGTAGCAAGGGGTACCAAGCCGATGAGACAGGCTTGGTAGTAACTACCAAGTCCATGAGTAGGACTTGGTGGCAAGTCAGCCAAGTGATAAGCCAACAAGATAAACCAAGTCCTCCAAAACTAAGTATGGAGTCTTTGTGGATAAATGGACTAATTTCTCAACCTATCAAGATCTATAACAAGCCCTAGCTAGCAAGACGAGGATGTACCACTTTTACTCAATCTACGAACAACAATGAACCCTACCATATAAAATGAATAAAATGAATGTACCACCTTTTTAAATCCTTTTGTAATGTTTCTAACTAATAATTTTGCAACCCAGCTATTAACTCAATCACACAAACAACATATAACCTAGAAATCTGGTCTGGCACACAAGTTAGCAAGCAAGTCTATAAACGATGATTCATCTCTCATCAATTTGGTTTTTATGTTTTCTCCTAATGTGCTTCTCGAGGGAGCATGACATTGGATCCCAATCATAACAAACTATTTTTTGCACCCACGTCACTTACCCAACCATTTTCTTAGACAAATTTTTTGTTTTGTTTAGACCCGTTGTTTCATATACTTTTTCGACACACCTCTTATATAAGAACAATGATTGGAATCGAAGAGCCATAAGCCTTGAAATGTCATTGCTAGAGCCTTTCTCAGTGCTCTTACCATCCTTTGGATGAAAGGCAATTTTAAGTCGCTTTTTCATGAATTATTATGATGCGCTTCACAATAGTTTTTTTTTTCCAAGAAATGTCAAAGAGAGAACTATACAAACTACCCGAACACCTCCCAACCCATTACATCAATGAAGCCAACCAACAAAGTCGAAAGAACATAACTCAAGAGGAGAAAGAAGCAGGGCTTTCTACGCCACTCTATGGGCAACCCTGTTAGCAGTCCGAGGCACTGCCCTAAATTCTAAGGAGACAGAAACAGAAGCAAGTAGAGAGAAGCAATCCCGAAGCACCGGTCCTCCTAGGGAATCAGAAGAAACACCCTGACGAAGCTGACGAACCACCACTTCTGAGTCACCTTCAATGATGACACGAGGGAGTGACTTGGAGACCAACAAGGAGATAGCGTCTCTGGCAGCAAGAAGCTCTGCTAGGTAGGGATCAGTAACGCCGAAGTGCTGAAACCCTACTGCCAAAGCTACATGCCCGTCTGCTCCACGCACCACTAGACCAGACGAACAACCAGAAACACGAACCGCAGCATCAAAGTTGATCTTCAAAAAATCATCAGGAGGCGGGACCCAGGAGGGAAGACGAGAACTTGGAGGATGACAGGGAGGGGCCGGCAAAGGAGGAAGAGAGGCAGAGACTTCACGGACTTGGAAAAAACATTGGCGAGCTAAAGACTGGGCATGAGGTTGCAAATACTCAAAAACCACCTTATTTCGAGACTTCCAGATTCTCCACAATACGCAAACGTACAGGAGAACATGGGTTTGGGGGTGCTCAGAAAGCATAACATGTCGCCACCAGAGACTGAAATTCACAGTCGGGGCCGAGGTAATGAAGTCATTTAGGCCCATAAGCGACCATAATCTGGTGGCCAAGGGGCATCTGAAGAACAGGTGTTCAATACTTTCTGGACTTCTCCAGCAAACCGGGCACCGGATACGACAATTAATCCCTCTAGACTTAAGCGCTACCACAGTTGGAAGAATCACTCTTAGACATTGCCAGATGAAGAATTTTAATTTTGGAGGAACCAGAATATCCCAAGTTTTCTTCCAGATAGGGGGATCTATAATTTGCACCAGGGGTTTTCGACTCGAGACTAAAGAAATTTCTAAAGCCAGGTGGTATCCGATTTTAACTGTATAGGAGCCATTTTTTGTAAAGTGCCAGACTCTTGTGTCTCTTTGCTGGCATCTAGGAAGAGGGGTTTTGCCAATAAGATTAACTGTAATGGGATCAAAACAGTATTGAAGTCTTGGGACATGCCACTCTCCTCCACTTCCTCAGAAAGCATAACATGTCGCCACCAGAGACTGAAATTCACAGTCGGGGCCGAGGTAATGAAGTCATTTAGGCCCATAAGCGACCACAATCTGGTGGCTAAGGGGCATCTGAAGAACAGGTGTTCAATACTTTCTGGACTTCTCCAGCAAACCGGGCACCGGATACGACAATTAATCCCTCTAGACTTAAGCGCTACCACAGTTGGAAGAATCACTCTTAGACATTGCCAGATGAAGAATTTTAATTTTGGAGGAACCAGAATATCCCAAGTTTTCTTCCAGATAGGGGGATCTATAATTTGCATCAGGGGTTTTCGACTCGAGACTAAAGAAATTTCTAAAGCCAGGTGGTATCCGGTTTTAACTTTATAGGAGCCATTTTTTGTAAAGTGCCAGACTCTTGTGTCTCTTTGCTGGCATCTAGGAAGAGGAGTTTTGCGAATAAGATTAACTGTAATGGGATCAAAACAGTATTGAAGTCTTGGGACATGCCACTCTCCTCCACTTCCTCTAATAAAGAAGGAGACTCTTGGGGAGTTTGTTATATTCGAAAGGCGGACCAAAGGAGTGATGGGTTTCTCTGAAACAACCCACTTGTCTTTGAAGGCTACAATGTCTTTGATGCGCTTCACAATAGTTGTGTGGGAAAAGAAAGATGAGAAGATAAGAGTGAGTGAAAAGGTGATGGAAAAAAAAAACAATATAGAAAAAATATATGATACTATTATTATTATTATTATTCACTTTCTATCAACTGAAGGATAATGATCCTCCGATTTTCCTAATCACAAGGGGGCAATAGCAAAAGCGCGGTTAATTTCTAGTAATAGCTTAAATTACTTGCGGCATCAGGAACTAGAAAAAGGCAGAATATAATCATAGATAAACTATTAGCTCACTCTCCTTCAACATAGGTTCAACCGTATGGATGACAATTTTGAGCTACCCATTTTACTCGACCTATTTGACATGTTTTAGGGCGGGCATGGGTACTCTCTTTGACCTTACATGCCTTGACCCATCCCATTCCCGACTCGGCTTTGCCTAAGTTACATGTAATTTTAATTAAATTATTTACGATTTTAGTTTTATTACCTCTTGTTATAGCTATGATGAAGTTGTGAATATGTGAGAACACCAATTTTTCGAATAGTTTAAATATATTTATCATATTTTAGTTTTTTTCTTGGGGTATTAATGACAAAAATGAGTACTTTTAACGTCTTTCTTTTAAATTACATACTTATATATGAGTTGACCTGACTTGACCCACGTCCTGTGATAAATTACCCGACCTGCAATGAGTCTGGTCGTTTGCTTCGTAGATTTGAAAAATGAAGGGTTTGGTATAACTTGGTTTTTGATAAACCATGGATATATGAGGGTTTTGGGTTCATTATGAATTTGAAAAGACCATTGTTTATTTCATGGATTTCATTATAGATTTTGTTAATTAAATTTGTACGTATGAAGTGAACTTTACCTTTATTGCCCTTAATGATATAAGAAGAGAAAGAAAATATGAGGGGTAGATTGGTAAAAAAATGGACTTCAAAGTCCACGATCAATTCCCACCTAAAGAGTTGGGAATTTCAAGTCTGTGGTCCCATGGATTTGGACCATCAAAATCCATGAGTCCCACAGATTTGGTACCTCTAAATACTTAAAACAAACAATGAATTTTGGACAAAGTCCATCATGAACTCAAATCTATCACCAAATCTTTCACAAAATCCATCAATCAAACAAGCCTAAGTTGAGAGTAATTACATATTATGCATAATAATTAGAACGAAACAATGTCATAAAAAAAGCCGACTAACGCATATACAACAGGAAATTACTCGTGCAGCTACATGCACCTAATTATGTCCCTAATGAAGAGCAATAATTAGGGTACAGCTTGTGTTGGGGGTGTGACTAAGGGACTGAGCGCACAGACTAAGCAGTAGGGCGCATAATCGGCGATGCCCAACGCTCGATACCCGCTACAGGTATATAAGGGCTTGAAGCCCTCCAAAGAGGGGGACTTCTTCTCTCTCCTCACTTTCCACTTTCTACTATCTCTCTACACTTTATCTCTCTATCTATTCTCTCAACTCTCTCCACAAACCGACGCTAACTTGACCGTCGGAGCTTAATCCGGGGGGCAACCCCGACTCTTTCACAGGTTCATTCCCTCCCGACGAGATCAGACGAACGGATCGTGAGTCAACCCCACACCAACAAATATCATTGTTCATACCGGAGCAGCTTGGTACAAACAATTGGCGCCCACCGTGGGGCGGATTTGCACGTTCTTTTCTTTGATCTCCGACGGGTGGGAGACGGATACAAGCCGAGTATCACCTCGAAAAAGGAAGAGGCGTTCCAGATCTGTACCGCTTTGGGAAGAAATTAACTTCCAGCATCGAACGGAAGTGACATGGCGACAACCATGGAGGCTTCTCCAAAAATAAAGGAAGAAAAGTTGGATTCCGACCACTTTGCTCATCGCCAACAACAGAAAAAAAAAAAAAAAAAAAAAAAAAAAAGAAGCAACGACTTCGCTCTGAAGACCCCGCCTACTTTCCATCTTCCCATTTACGTAGCAACTACTAGGTCGAGATCCGCGCAAATGGAGAAACGTGGAAACCTCAACAAAAGAAAATAAATTCCAGATCTTGGGCTTTTCTGACTTTCCTCCCACCACTACAAGAGCGGCAGCGCAACAGAAGGAGGGGTGAAGAAGATCCGGTGAAGAGGTCAAAAAGAGCTTTAAAAAAAAAAAAAGAGAAAGTTACAGCCAGATTTCGGCGACTCTTCTGACCGGAGTTGTGGCCGCTGCCATGTCTCCGATGGGAAAAGAAGAAATCTGTCGTAGTCAACCCCCACCTCCTCTCCCTACAGAAAGTTGCCCGGCAGTAGAAAGAGAGGGAACAGTTGACAGGGCCACTTTCTCAGAACCACTTGCTCTCTCTGTCAGAATGAAAAGACAGGCAGCGTTATCGAGGCAACTTGGACAAGTTGATGACAGCCTGGAAAATATTGAGAAAGAAAGAGCGCGACCACCAGTCTTCCGCCGGGACTCTCCGCAGAGTCACTCTAGTACGACTGTGTCTCTTCCTTCATAGTCTCATCATCATCCTCCGGCTCGTCATCCTCGGAAGCCTTGGATTGATCAGTAATCTGATCTTCTTTGGCTTCAACATCAACGCTCTTCGCTGCCTTCGTCCTCTCCTCCAGCGCTGCAATCGGAGTGTAACGGATTCTCCGCTTTGGAGGTTCGTCCGCGGCGGAAGAATCATCGCCTGCGCCTCCTCCTGCGGCGAGAGGGGTCCATCGACACAGCAAGAGGCGAGAGCTCTCGCTATTGCTGTTGTTGCTCAGCGCGGCGCTGTGGAGGTGATGGCCGTTGGAGTGAGCGCGCGAGCTGTCATTATTAGCGGCCGGAGGTGGAGAAACGTGGAACCGCTCAAACCTCTCCAAGAAAACGAATAGAGACGGGGAGAAAGATGCGGCGGAAGGCTATAGCAGCTTTCAAAAAAAAAAAAAAAAAAAAAAAAAAAAAAGGAGACGTGCACAATTAGGGTACGGGTCTCAAGACTCGCGCCCCATACCGCAAAGCCCGCCACATCATGAGTGCCGCGTCACGTGACTCGATCCGCAACACAACCCGTTGCCCACTAGTTCCGCGCTCAGTTCTTCCTACCGCGGGCTCCGCCAGTCCGACGCGCGGCCCAGCTCACAACAAAAGGACTCGCATCTGGCCCAATAGTCCCCACTTCGCGCCAGCCCAAGTCGCTGCCCGCACTCATGAATCGAAGTCCGCCCCACGGTCTCGGCTCTCACTCCCATCCCGCTCTGCACCAACTCAGTGGGCCGCCATCACCTTGGCCGCGTGCAACCACTCCGCGGCCCAAGCCCATGACCGCACGGCTCAACTCCCACTCGCGGCCCACTTGTGCGTCCCAGAAGAAGCCACTCGTTCCCAATGCGCGCCAAGCAACGCATCGCTACCAGAAGCCCGTGCGTCGAGCTCATAAAAAAATAAAGTCGCCACAGGTATTCGAACCCGCGCCACTCCTCCCCGAGACAAGCAACGTAACCAGCAGACTACAAGCACGCTTGGTGATCATTGGGCGCAGTACCCTAATATCAACGAACCCGCGCCATCATCAACTCGCGTAAAAAACAAATTGTCGTCATCGCGAGGACTCGAACCCGCGCCATCACTCCGCCTTATAAGCGAGGTTACCAGTAGGCTACATACAAGCCTTCTGTTTCAAAGGCGCAGCGTCTGCCTTTTGACAACTCTTCGCGCCGCTTCGCCAATAGAAAGCTAAGTACTCTATCCCTTTATCACTATCAAATATTGAAATATTTTACTCTCACATTACCTCGAAGACTCCAAACCGAGGGTGTACCATCCCCGACGAGGAGGGCTCCAAACTGAGGGTGTACCATCCCCGACGAGGAGCCACAAATAAGTTTCAACGAAGCACACAAATAAGACTTCAATACGAGCATCGAAGACTCCAAACTGAGGGTGTACCATCCCCGACGAGGAGGGCTCCAAACTGAGGGTGTACCATCCCCGACGAGGAGCCACAAATAAGTCTCAACGAAGCACACAAATAAGACTTCAATACGAGCATCGAAGACTCCAAACTGAGGGTGTACCATCCCCGACGAGGAGGGCTCCAAACTGAGGGTGTACCATCCCCGACGAGGAGCCACAAATAAGTCTCAACGAAGCACACAAATAAGACTTCAATACGAGCATCGAAGACTCCAAACTGAGGGTGTACCATCCCCGACGAGGAGGGCTCCAAACTGAGGGTGTACCACCCCCGACGAGGAGCCACAAATAAGTCTCAACGAAGCACACAAATAAGACTTCAATACGAGCATTCAAAAAAAAAAAAAAAAAAAAAAAACTACATATCAAGGGCGGGGGTTAATTTGCCACGCGGCCAACGAGCCCGCGCGGCCCAACGTCACGCCACCGCCCATTAAGTCGATAAAAATTCCTCAGTGGGAGTTCGAACCTGCACACTAATTTGGACAGCCTAGCGTGCACACCAGTAAGCCACAACAACAACTTGTCCTACAAGATGCGTCGTGCCTATATTTTACCAAGAGACGATCAAGTGGGCCAATTATCACTCGCGGCCCGCGTTCAGAGTCCGCTCCAGTACATATCGCGTCATCTGATTCCACCCTCAACACGCGGTCCCGACACCAACCCGCGCAGCATCTTCCCGCAGCCCGCGACGCGCGCAAGCCCAACTCGCGTCCGGCCCGCGTCACCAGTCCGCCCCGTCCATCCTTGTTCTAGTCTGAGTCAAAAATATTATTGCCGCCGACAGGAATTGAACTCGCGTCCTTCCTCCGCTAGGCAAGCAACATCACCAACAGGCTACATACGCGCTCAGTGATTCAATGGCGCAGCGTCTGATTTTCAACTATTCCTGACGCCACGGTACCAATATAAAGATAAGTACTCTATCATTATTAAATTTGAAATATTTTACCTCCTAAGCGTTAATGACGCTAATGGGGGGCAAGACGCAAGAAGCTGGCACCGCGTCACTCAAACGCGCCACCAGCTGGGGGGCAACTGGGGTACATAGGCCCCACCCAAAATTACCGACAAAGATTTAAAAAATAAAATATAAGCTAGCGATGAGTTAAAACTCACCACCAGCTTGGGGGGCAATTGTTGGGGGTGTGACTAAGGGACTGAGCGCACAGACTAAGCAGTAGGGCGCATAATCGGCGATGCCCAACGCTCGATACCCGCTACAGGTATATAAGGGCTTGAAGCCCTCCAAAGAGGGGGACTTCTTCTCTCTCCTCACTTTCCACTTTCTACTATCTCTCTACACTTTATCTCTCTATCTATTCTCTCAACTCTCTCCACAAACCGACGCTAACTTGACCGTCGGAGCTTAATCCGGGGGGCAACCCCGACTCTTTCACAGGTTCATTCCCTCCCGACGAGATCAGACGAACGGATCGTGAGTCAACCCCACACCAACAAATATCATTGTTCATACCGGAGCAGCTTGGTACAAACAGCTTGCATTTAATCTCCCCCATAGTTTGGATGGTGATCAAGAGAGCTAGCTAGCTAGCTGCCCTTTTTCTTCTATGGACGGTAATGGCCGGTGGTGATCATGACCTACATAATAAGGGCAGGCAGAAGAAGATGATGTGGCTTGTGTGGACGTTTTTTTGTTTTATTCAGCAGATGAAGCTGAACTCGAACCAGCTGGATGGGACTTCATAAACTGGATTATTGGTGAATATAAGTGATGGGCCACATTCAGGTGGACCTCTCAATGTTTCCCCCTGATTTTAGAAAATATATGCATCATTATTTAGTTCTGGTGGGCTAGTGACTCTAGCTTAGCTAGCCAGCATGAACAAAATGAAATAATAACAATAAATACATCGCTTATTATGATATACCCAACGATGTTCTTCCGGGGGAAAATTAATATATGAAGAGCTGCTTTCAGTTTCAGGAAGGATTAATGGCGGATTATGTTTAACATCTACTTAGGTTGTCATAGTCGGCAGAGTTTTGTTAATGCTCAATGCACTTAAAAATAAAGGCTTTGGAGAAGAATGCCAAGGGTTAGTTGGTGTGCTTTTTATCAAATTAGCAAACTTAAAGTGCAAAAGTACAAAAGTTTACGTAATAATAAAAAACTTAATTAACCGGGAAAGTCAACGTGATTCCAGAACATAGGCACACCTAGGGCTGCTATGTTGGTTGTGGCTTTCTGGGCTAATATTAAGTAATCTTATTAACTTCTTTTAATGGCTATAAATCGATATAACCATAGAGTTTTAGCCTGAATAACGAAACTGTGAATTCATCAAATAATTGAAATTCGTGGTGTTAGCAAAATCAAATAATTAGTTTCGTTCCACTCGATTTCAAAACCCCAAAACCAAACTATTTAAGTGTTCTATTCTCGTTGTGGTTAACAATTAGGTGTTTACTAAAGAAAATGCGATCTATAAGGATTTCAGGTTTACGGTTACTATTTTGATTCACCTGACCAATTTAGAAATCCTACCTCTTTCATTAGTGATGGCAATGGGGCGGGGCGATGTAATACCCATGGGGTACGGGGCGGGTTAGCTCACTCTTACATACTGTTTGGTATAAATGAATTTCATAAGTTTTGAGAAATTCATTTTGAATTACATATTATATGAAAAAAAATATACGCCAAATTTTACTTTTTACGATAAAACGATGGAAAAAATACTTTATGAACGAAAAATAGTAATAACAGAACGGGTAATTAAATCTAACTAGTTGAAAATGTTGAGTCTAACTAGTTGAGAAAAGTCAAAATATGAAAAATATGAACAAATATTGTAAGTATTTTAAGTAAAATAGGCCAAGAATGGGGAGAGTTTACCCAATATCATAGGTTGAGCTTACCCAATACTTTGTTTCGAACGTAACATGATAAATTTCATATAATCATTTATAAATATGTATTTTTTGCATTTAATCAAATGTACAGTTCACTTTACTAAAATTAAAAGGTACAGTTCACCCCTTATGATCACATTTGAAAAGTGGAGACTCAATGCATAATTAGCCATCTATAACAAATTTAAATATCATGATTTTTCAAAACATATCACATTGACTATCATATCCTTAATAGGCACTATACCATCTTTTGTAGTTCAATAAAGTCGTATTCTTTTGTTATAAGAGTGATATATAGATTTTCCCCCCTCATTTGGAGCTACTTAAGATATTCGATTATGCGATCTCTAAATTCCAATGGGCCGAACCCCTTATTCGCTAAGTAAATCCATATATACTTTTCCAGCTAATTTCAGCTTGATAACCTCGATGTAAGTTAAGAAACTTAACCGGGTATTGAGATTTGTCTGGTTGTTTGATTATGGGTATGAGCAATATTGAAAATGTCATCATCACAATTCACAGCCAGCCCAGGTTGGTTGACATTATTGAGAGGAAAGTGTTAAAAATGGTTGTATCAGAAACCAGCCACCCACCATTGCTACTGCCTGCAGCTGGGCTGATGTTTCTTTCAATTACGTAATTGTTCTTAGCCTATATAGAAATGATATACAATAGCTAGCCACTCATATTTTCCTGAAAAATTGAAAACATTGCATGAAGGAGATAAATTAAGAATTATGTGGTTTCTCCAGTTTTATACTTTTCTCCTTTCGGAATCCATAAAATAGAAAATATTATTTTCTGTGGGAACCTCGCCATCTCCTCCCTTACAGCTTTTTTTTTTTTTTTTTTATAATGGTGATTTTATTGAAGAAAGAAAAAATAGAAAAGAACCAAGTACAAAAGAAAGGAGAAAAAAAAAAAAACAGTTCCCGAAACAAAGACAAGGAGAGAAAGGGGTTCAGGAGAACTGAACCAGCTCCCAAAATAAAGACAGAAAAACCAGTACTCAACTGGAAAA